GAAATGAAGAATGATGTGTCTGACATCAAGAACACACTGGAATATATTAAAAATAAATTGAATGCAAAAAAGGATCAAATCAGTGATATGGAAAACAAGATAAAAATAAGTAACCAATTAAAGCAGCAAATAGAAAAAATAATTAAAAATCAGGCCCTAGCTGCTTCAGCTCAGTGGATAGAGCATCAGCCTGCAGACTAAAAGATCCCAAATTAAATTCCAGTCAAGGGCATGTACCTTGGTTGCAGGCACATTCCCAGTAGGGGGTGTGCAGGAGGCAGCTGATCAGTGTTTCTAACTCTTTATCCCTCTCCCTTTCTCTCTAAAAAATCAATAAAATATATATTGTTTTAAAAATCAGAAAGATAGCTTAAGGGAACTCTGGGACAACATAAACATAACATCTGCATTACATAAATACCAGAAGGGGAAGAAGGTGAGCAAGTAACCAAGAAACCATTTAAAGAAATAGTGACAGAAAACTTCTTCATCCTGGTTAAGGAAAATGTCACACAAGTACAGGAGGCACAGAGGTCTCAATCAAGAGGAACACAAAGACACCCACACCTAGATACATCATAATTAAAATGGCAAATGCTAAAGACAACAAGAGAATCTTAAAGGCAGCAGGAGAGAAATAAAAAATTACCTACAAAGGAGTTCCCATTAGACTGTCAGCTGACTTCTCAATAAAAATACTTTAGGCCAGAAGGAAGTGGCATGAAGTACTTGAAGTAATGAAAAGCAAGGGCCTAAATCCAAGACTACTATATCCAGCAAAGCTATCTTTAAAATTGAAAGTGAAATAAAAAGCTTTCAAGACAAAAAAAAAAGGTTAAAGGAGTTCATTACCACCAAACCAGCAATGCAAGAAATGTTAAAGGAGCTGCTTTAAGAAGAAAAGGAGAGGAGGTAAACACCAGTACTCACAGCCTCCCATAACCACATCAAAATTACAGCTAAAATACAGAAAACCAACATTCAGACCTGCCTTAAAGCTGGCTGAATGGAAGTCAGAAACAATAGAAGTAAAGAAGAAAGCACATTGAGACTGGTAGAAGGGGCAGAGGTGCAGAATGGGCTGCTAGCACCCACATGTACCATTTTTTTAATAATGAGGGATATAGTCCCTGCAGATGCTGCCAATTTGGAAAAAGGGGTCCCAGCCCCTCACCAGACACCCAACCAGGGTCCCAGAGCTGGAAAAAGAAACCCTCATAACTATGGGCTTTAAAAACCAGGGATGCAAGGCTGATAGAATATTTGTAAATCAATAAATGTGATGCATCGCATAAACAAATTGAAGGATAAAAACTACACGATCATATCAATTGATGCAGAAAAAGCGTTTAACAAAATCCAGCACCCTTTTTTTGATAAAATCTCTCAGTAAAGCAGAATAGAGGTATCATACTTCAACATTATAAAGACCATATATGACAAACCTACAGCCAACATAATATGCAATGGGCTCATCAGTCAGACAAGAAGAAGAGATAAAAGGCATCTAAATTGGAAAGGAGGAAGTAAAATTGTCAATTGCAGATGACATGATTTTATACATAGAAAACCACCAGGAAATTATTAGACTTAAGTGACTTCGGCAAGGTAGCAGAATACAAAATCAACATCCATAAATTTTTATACACCAATAATGAACTCTCAGAAACAGAAACTTAAAAAAAAATCCCATTTACCATTGCAACAACAATAAAAATAGGGTAACTAGAAATAAACTTAACCAAGGAGGTATAAGACCTGTACTTGGAAAACTATAGGACATTGAAAAAAGAAATAGAGGAAGATACAAACAAATGGAAATATATCTCATGAACATGGATTGGAAGAAGGAACATCATTAAAATGTCTACACTACCCAAAGCAATCTACAGATTCAAGGCAATCCCTATTAAAATAGCAATGGCATAATTCACAGAGCTAGAACAAATACTCCAAAAATGTATATGGAACTATAAAAGACCCTGAATAGCTGCAGCAATCTTGAGAGAAAACAAAGTAGGAGGGATCACAATACTGGATAGCAAACTATCAAAAAATATACTACAAACCCATTATAACCAAAACACCCTGGTACTGGCACAAAACAGGCATATAGACCAATGGTTCAGAACAGAGATCCCAGAAATTGAACCACATCATTATGGTCAATTAATATTTGACAAAGGAGGCAAGAACATACAATGCACAATTAATATTCGACAAAGGAGGCAAGAACATACAATGGGGCAGTAATGCACCCATAAATGGTGCTGGGGAAACTGGACAGACACATGCAAAAAGATGAAACTAGACTACCAACTTATACTATATACAAGAATAAACTCAAGGTGGATAAAACTATAAAAATCTTAGAGAAAAACATAAAGTAGTAAAATCTCAGGCATCTCATGTAGCAATATTTTTATGGATACATCTCCTAGGAAAAAGGAAGCTAAGGAGAAAATAAACACATAAATTACATCAAAATAAACTATATCAAAATGAAAAGCTTCTGCCCAGCAAAAGAAACCACCCTCATAATGAAAAGAAAAACCACTGTATGGGAGGACATATTAGTTAATGATACATCTGATAAGAGGTTATTATTCTAAATGTATAAAGTACTCATACAACTCAACTAAGTAAGACAAACAATCCAATTAAAAATGAACAGAAGACCTGAGTAGACATTTCTCCAAAGAGGATATACAAATGGCCAAGAGACACATAAATAAATGCTCAAAGTCAGAAATCATCAGAGAAATGCAAATTAAAACCACAATGAGCTATCACCTCACACCTGTCAGAATGACTGTCATCAAAAAATTAACAAACAAGTGCTGGTGAGGGTGTGGACAAAAGGGAGCACTAGTTCACTGCTGGTGGGAATGCAGATTGGTACAGCCACTATGGAAAACAGTATGGCGTTTCCTCAAAAAGTTAAAAATGGAACTTCCATTTGATCCAGCGATCCCACTTCTGTGAATATATCCTTTAAAAACCCAAACATCAATCAGAAAGAATATATGTACCCCTCTGTTCATAGCAGCATTATTTACAATAGCTAAGATTTGGAAGCAGCCCAAGTGCTTATCAATAGACGAATGGATAAAAAAGCTGTGGGACATTTACACTATGGAATACTATGCAGATTAAAAAAAAAAAGGATCTCTTAGCCTTTGGGACAGCATAGATGGACATGGAAAATATTATGCTAAGTGAAATATCACAAGATGGCACTTATTTGTGAAATCTAATAGTATCCTGCTATTTTACTGAGCTCGTTTATCATTTCTAACAGTTGTTTGGTGAATTCTTTAAGGTTCTCTCTATAATAAAATTATGTCATCTGCAAGTGTTGACAATTTTACTTCTTCCTTTCTAATCTGGATAACTTTAATTTCCTTTTCCTATCTGATTGTTGTGACTAGGACTTCGGTAAAAGTAAACAACCTTGACTTATTCCTGATTTTAAGAAAATGCTTTTAGCTGTTTTCCATTAATTATGACAGTTGCTGTGTTATGTTGAGGTATATACCCTCTATTCTCATTTTGTTGAGAGTTTTTATCATTATGCTGGATTTTGTCACATGCTTCTTCTGTATCTATCAATATTACCTCATGTTTTTTATCCTTCGTTTTGTTTTTGTGGTATAACATGTTAATTGATTTGCAGATATTGAACTAACCTTCAATAGGAATCCTAGGAATAAATCCCACTTGATCATGGTGTATGATCTTTTTCATGAATGGCTGAATTTTGGTTTGCTAATGTTTTGTTGAGGATAGTTGCATCTATATTAATCATGGATATTCGCCTATAATTTTCTTTTTCATAATATATTTGTCTGGTTTTGGAATCAGCATTATGCTGGTCTCATAAAATGAGCTTGGGAGCCTTCCCTCCTCTTGAATTTTTTGGAATAATTTGAGAAGGATAAGTGTTATTTCTTCTTATAATACTTAGTTAAATTTACCTGTGAAGCTATCCGGTCCAGGACACTTACTGATTCGATTTCACTGGCAGTAATTGGTCTGAACCAATTTTCTGTTTCTTCTTGATTTGGTCTTAAAAGATTGTTCCTAGGAATTTATCCATTTCTTCCAGATTGCCCAATTTGCTGGAATAGAATTGTTGAGATATTTTCTCATTATCCTTTGTATTTCTATGGTCAGTTGTCACTTCTCTTTCATTTCTGATTTTCTTTATTTGGGTCTTCTCGTTTTTTTCTTGATGAGCCTAGTTAACATTTTTACCGTTTCAAAGATTGCTTGGTTTCTTTGATCTTTCGCATTTTTCTTAGATTGTATCTTATTTACTTCTGCTCTGATCTTTATTATTTCCATCTTTCTACTCACTTTCAGTTATTGGTAGTATTAGTCCGTTTTTAAATTTTTAATTTTTTGTGATGTATTTTCTTATTCTAATTTAATATTTCATTTTATACTTAATTTAGTATTTTTAATTTTGAAATGTTCTCCTTAAAATGGGCCCCTGAATTGTGTAAGCTTCCTCCCATGGGCAGAGATGGGATAGTGTGATAAGACTCAAGTTCCCTGCTTGCCAGTGTTTCCTAACTATATTCATAAATTTATCACATCAGCATACTGCCTGACCTGCTTCCATATTTTCTTAAAATTGGCTTTTTTTTTAATGTAAACAGTAGATCTTACATGTATCTGGAACCCCTGGCTTGGTGAGCTACTTGCATTTTTTAGTGTTCCCTGTGTGGGCATGCCAGTGGCTTCACCCTAGGGAAGTGGTGTGGGACAGGCTCTGGCTAGCCAAGGCGCTGGGGAAAATAGGAGGGCAGGGCAGGGCAGTAGTGGGGGAAGCTGGGTGGGCCAACATCTCACTAGGTCTCCTGAAGGGCTTAGAGCTTCCAGGAGTGAGTAGGTCTGTCTCCCCATTTGCCTCCAGGGCTAGGCAGTCCTCACGGACACAGCAAGTTGGAGGGAGGGCAGGAGGCCATGGGTCAAGGGGACGACCTGTCTTTCAGCACTGCTTTAAAGGACACTGCATCTGGCTGACGCCTGACATCCTCAAACGAGATGGCAACTGGGGCTCCTGGAGTCCATTCGGCTCCTGCTCACGCACCTGTGGCACAGGCGTTAAGTTCAGGACCCGCCAGTGTGACAACCCACAGTAAGTTGGCCCTGGTGTTTCCCAGCTCTCCTGGGTGGCAGCTGTGGCTCCTGAGGCCCCTTCCTATCCTCAGGGTCCCTATTGCTGCATGCCAGTTCTGGAGAGGGTGCAAGGGCGGCTTCCTGTTCCCTGGGAGGAAGGTGAGACTCGGAGAGGGAAGCCTCATGGCCCTGGTTGCACAGCCTGCTGGGAGCAGAGCCGGCCCTGCAGCCCTGAAAACCTGGTCTCCTGGCCTGCTATCCATCCCCCGCAGGCTCTGCACCCTCCTCCAGACACTGGCTGGCTCTGTCCTTCCTGGCCAAGCGTATCAAGGACATAAGGTGGGACAGAGAACAGGAATCAGGAATAAGAAAGAGGAGGGCGCTCTTGGTTCCCAGATGCCAGGAACCTGAACAGGGAGAGCAACTGTTTGTAGTCAGGCAAGGGGCAGGGCGAGCAACATGCTGCCTGTACCCAGCTACCCAGGAGAGAGAGAACTGGAGAGACTGCCCCCACGCCCACTGGACTCCTGTTGCCAACCATGCTCCCCTTCTTGCTTCCCAAGTTTGGGGCCTGCTGTGCTGTCCTCCCTAGCTCCTCCCTGTCCCTCTCATCCCCCACACACACTCCATCTTTCTGATGCATGCCCCCTCCTCGGCCCACAGCCACTCTTCCTGCCTGTACCCTTAGCCTGGGCCTCCGCTAGGGCAGTGCCCATGGAGAGGGGCACGTGGAGTCAGAATGCCCGAGTCCCAGGCCCCTGCAGCCCTGTGTAAGTCAGGGAGGGTCACTTAGGCCCCTCCCCCAGGCCTCAGGCAGCCTGCCCATGGAGTGATTATGGGTGCACTTACAGTAATGTGAACAGGACCTGGGTGCAGGAAAACTCCCACAGATGTCAGCTCACTGGCCTTCCACCTGCCCATCCGCAGCCCTGGGCTCCCAGGAGACATGTGGCTTTTGTCTTTCTCTCTTTAGGCCAGAGTTTTAAAGATTTTCATTTCCATGAAAATGTTAAAAATCTGGAATTTCACATAAAGAAAACAAATTTCTAGCCTTCAGATTGGGCACCATAGCAATACAGGCTGCCCCCACCCCAGGCCATCTTCACTCACCTCCCCTGCCCACCTGAACCCCTAGATATTGGGTTGGGGTCCTAAGACCCTAAGCCTCGGTCCTAGGATCAACACCCTTCTTTGGACCCTGCCGTGGCCTCACCCAAAATTGTATTATGACTTTCTGTGCATGAACATTTTTCGGGGGAGCAGGTCTCTAGCTTCACATCACCTTCTCAGAGGAATGTGCCCCCAAATTTAAGCCCACCCCGGTCTCTGGTGCCCATCTAGACTGCGGGCTCTGCCTTTGCAGCAGCTTCCCTGCTCTACTCAGCCGGGCTGCTGCATTTCTCTGGTCATGCCCTGAAATGGCCACCAGGGGCTCAGCAGTAATAGCTCTGGGAAGAGGGGTCAAGTCCATGTTGGCCAGGAAGGGACTGGCGTCCTGGGCTGCAGCAGTGGGAGAGCCTGCCCCTCAAGGTCACTTGTGCCTCCTGCTGGCCACCCCAGCTCCTGGGGAGCCTTCTCCTCCCATTTCTGACTACCGCCTGCCCCGAGGCTCTAGGCTTCCATCCTGACTATGAGCAGAGGCAGGAACCAAAGTGCCCTGCCTGACTCCCCTCAGGCACCCTGGGGATGCTTGCCTCAAGATGAGACTGACCAGACAGGAAGTTAGAATTGCAGAGGCCATAGGATTCTGGGTAAGGACTGTGGGAATGCAGCAAGCACTCAGTAAATGTCTCAGCTGCCCCCTTCACGTGCTGATGGAGTAACTTAGACTCCGGGTGCAGTCGAGAGAGCAGGTTCGGCCTGACTTCCCTGCCCTCCATGGGCATCCAGGCCGATTCCTCCTGCCTGATGCTGGGTTCCCGGGTTCCAGCAGACACCCCCTGGCCCGGTTCAGTAGAGAAGAGGTACACATTCTGACCTTTTTCACCCGCACACTCTAGGGATTTACCCCTCGGCTTTGCCCAGACTCCTCGATGGCAGCAGAGGTCAAGGGCAAGTGATGAGAGCAAAGCTGTCAGTACGGCCTGTGAGCCCATTTGGTCCTGAAAGCCATCCGTCCCAGAGAATAGCCACGCCCTGCCCAAGGCCAGCATCCCTGTCAGACCGCATGCAGCTGTGACGGCTGTTCTTTCACGCCGGCCTCACTCACATCTGGGGAGATGCGCGCAGCGGCAGCCCAGAGCATTTCTGAGCTCAGGGCTCCACACAACCTCTATGTCAGCGATGTAAGGCAGGCCTCCCCTTCATTCGTTGTCCAGTGATAACTGCGGGACTTCGTGCTGCCCATTTTAGGGTTACCCTCCCTGTGCTAGTCCCCAGCTCTTCCTATGTCGCTGGGACCACTGTGAAGACGCCCATACAGCTCTAGCTAGACCTGCTTGCAGGACTGAGTTCCCACTGTGTTCGCTGCCCAGACCCTAGTGGTCGTAAAACTGCAAACAATCCAGTCCCTGGTGTTTCGCTTGCTCTTCCCCCTCCCAAACTCTCCAGCTCCCTCTGTTTTGGAGTCCACGTGGATTTCAGTTCCAATCACTGTGCCTCTTGCCTGGGCTGGCCAGGGATTCCAGCAACAGCAGACCCTTCCTGCTTCCCCCACAGCGGCTGCTGCTGCCCTGGCCCCCCTCACCTGCAGCCAGGCCTGCACCCCCTTCTCCTGGTGACACCCTTGTTGGTATTGTCATTGGTCTAGGTCACTGGTCGGCAAACTCATTAGCCAACAGAGCCAAATATCAACAGTACAATGATTGAAATTTCTTTTGAGAGACAAATTTTTTAAACTTAAACTTCTTCTAACGCCACTTCTTCAAAATAGACTCACTCAGGCCGTGGTATTTTGTGGGAGAGCCACCCTCAAGGGGCCAAAGAGCCGCATGTGGCTCACAATCCACAGTTTGCTGACCACAGGTCTATGGTATTATCAATGACCCTGGCGCCAATCTCAGAGTTATCCTTTCTTCCGATCTCCTATCAAACACTGAGGCCCCTTGGTTCTTCTTCCACACACTTTTCTGACCATTATTCCCCCTGGACCCCTGGAGAACACAGCGCCTTGCGAGGGGCCTCTCAGAGGCACCTCCTTTCCCGTCCACTCTGCTGTGCTGCACGCAGTTCCCCTTGGGAGGGGCCTCAGTGCCTTGGAGGGGCCTCACAGAGGCACCTCCTTTCCCTCCACTCTGCTGTGCTGCACGCAGTCCCCCTTCTTGTTGCACGCAGAGCGTGACTTGCTCAAGTCTCAGGTGAGGCCTTGGGTTCTGTCTGGCTCTGCCACGATTGGCATATGGCAGCACTGTCGTCCCCAGCTCCTCCCAGGTTCTGGCCTGCCGCAGCCCATCCTTCACCCTGCAGATGCACTCGCCAGCCAGAGCTGGTGCCTTTTCTGCGGGGCTAGTGCGCTGTGGATCGTTCTCAGGGAAGTGAGGGGATTGCAGAAACAGCCCAATTCGCTGGGGTGGAGAAAGGTGGGGGGAGTGTCCACCGTGTGCCCCACACTGGGAAGAGCCTGGGCAGTGGGCCTCTGCTATTTCAGAACTGCTCTTTGAGTGCCCACCCTGCGGCAGGCGCAGGCACAGACCTCCATGGAGAGGAGACACGGGGCCCGGGGGAGGATTGCCAGCCCTCTGTACCTGATGCTCTGGGGCCTGGGAGGCTGCGGTGCTGCCCTGGTCTTGCCTGGCTTCCTTCTCCAACATCCCCCAATTTGTACAAGTGGAGCGCGAGTGCTGGCGTCTTCCTCTGGCACCGAGCTGCAAGTCCTTTGCTTTCTCCTCCAGCCCTGCCAATGGGGGCCGCCCCTGTGCAGGCCTTGGCTACGATTTCCAGCTCTGCAACTCCCAGGACTGTCCCGACTCACTGGCCGACTTCCGCGAGGAACAGTGCCGGCAGTGGGACCTGTACTTCGAGCATGGTGATGCCCAGCACCACTGGCTGCCCCATGAGCACCGGGACGGTGAGGCTCTGAGTGGAGGCAGAGTGAGGCTCAGGACAGGGCAGGGTGGGTGGACTGGGGCTCACGCGTCCTGTGAGTCTGTGTGAGCAAGGCAGTCAGCCGCAGGGCTGCTGGGGCCCACTCCACGATTGAGGCTGGGGCTTGAGGCAGGACGACAGTCCCAGGGGGGCCAGGACGCTGGGCCTGGGCCAGGATGAGGGGAGAGGACCAGGAGGCTCAGCCAGGGCCAGGCTCTGCTGCCTCCCTCTGCTGGAGGATGCTGTGGGTGTGTTACTAAACCCGCTCAGGGGGCGGAGGTGGGGACGGAACTGAGTGGACCCGGCCAAGGAGCCAGGCTACCTCCAGCCTTCTCATATCTCAGATGACAGTCGGGACTCAGTTGAGTTTCAGAAAAGATAACATGAACTATTTTGTGTGCTCAACAGTATTTATTGGCCCCTAGGAACTGAAAGGCCTGGCAGCTTCAGGCATGATCCAGTTTGTATTCTGCTTGGTTCCCCTCCCTCCTGGTGGGATTTTAAACATGTGGTGTTTGTTCCCTCCAGGCACGGGGCAGGGGCAGGATGCCAGGGTGGGCCTGTCACCATCACCCTGCGTGTGATATACCAGCAGAGCGCCCTGCAGGCAGGGGAGCCAGCACAGACACAGCCCCCCCCCCCCCCGGAGGTGGGCTGCAGCCTGGTGGGCAGGGTGGATAGCCATCAAATAACCCAGCGTTTCAGTGACTTCTGAGAGAAATACTGAGAAGGGAAGATGTCAGGGAACCAAGACTGAATCAAGCGGCATCTTATTTGGGGTTTTAGAGAAGGTTGTCTTCAGTAGAAAAGCTGGCAAACAACCATTTGCCTTCCCCTGGGTGTCGGGGGCCGAGGGGCCTGAGGCTTGGGCTACTCCAGCAGCATCCTGGCTCCTGGGAAAAGCTCTTCCCAAGGAAACTCAAAGGGGGTGCAGTCTCCTGGCCCCTTTCCTTTTCCTGCCCCAGGACAGGTGTGGGAGTGGGGGGGTGAGAAGGAGAGTGTGGGAGGGGAGTAAATCTTAAGAAGACCCTCATGGGAATTTCTCATGAGTGGACTTGGGAAAGAAGGTGGACAGAGCAGCCCCCACTTTCCCCTAACACCCCTCTTCCCTTCCAGCCAAGGAGAGGTGCCACCTCTACTGTGAGTCCAAGGAGACCGGGGAGGTGGTGTCCATGAAGCGCATGGTGCACGACGGAACCCGATGCTCCTACAAGGATGCCTTCAGCCTCTGCGTGCGAGGAGACTGCAGGGTGAGTGCTCTGGTGCCAGCGTGGGAGCTCAGGGTCTCCACTTCAGGCGTTTTGAGGGGACTCATGCAGAGTGTTGGACACGGCCCTTGGAGCAGGGCAGACCCCCGGCGAATGTCGGCCTGCCCCGCCTCTGTGCTGGAGGCTGGAGTCATTGAGTATGCCTCGGAGCACCATGGGGAACTTGAGGCTCCTCCTGAGAGATTCTAATTCCTAGGTTGAGGCTGGGACCCAAAGGCAGGATTTTTATGAGCCTGCCAGTGATTTCAACACACACGGTCCTCGGTGACCCTGCCACCTCCTGGCACTCTGATGGCCATGGGCAGCTCACTCTTGCCCAGGGTGGCCCACCAGGGGTCTCATTGCTTGGTTCTTTGTAGAAATGCCTGCTGTGTTTCCGGTTGTCATTAGGGTGTCTTTGGCTTCCCCCTTAGGCTGACACAGGAAACCACTGGGGTAACCTCAGCATACCATAGTGATCGAGCTCAGACTTGCCTCCTGCCAGATTCCCTGAAACAACTGGGAGACCCTGCAGTTTGTGTTGACAGGACTACGTGTATGTGCCATGCGGACTGACTCTCCTAAGGAGTCTCTGGCAGAGAACCTGGCACAGTGGTCGGCAAACTCATTAGTCAACAGAGACAAATATCAACAGAACAATGACTGAAATTTCTTTTAAGAGCCAAAATTTTTAAACTTAAACTTCTTCTAACGCCACTTCTTCAAAATAGACTCGCCCAGGCCGTGATACTTTGTGGAAGAGCCACACTCAAGGGGACAAAGAGCCGCATTTGGCTCGGGAGCCCCAGTTTGCCGACCACTGACCTGGCAGAATGCAGTCACCCCTGCAGGAAGGAGTGAGGCTGGAAGCACAAGGAGGTGGGGTGTCGGTCAGCCCCTCCCGTCCACTCACGTAGGACCCCGGCCTGAGCTGAAGGAGGCTTCTCTAGGACACGGGACGGGGCGGGGGAGGGGGGGGCAGACATAGGAGGAGGCTGGCTGAGTGTGACCCTTGCAGGGAGCCAGGTCACACAGTCTGCTCGGACAGTAGACCAAATCCTTAGAGATGAAGACAGCAGTGTTTCCTCTGTACCCACGGGGCTTTGATTTATGGAGGTGACAGGGAGAACACAGAGAGGCAAGTGCCATTGAGAGAAGAATTCATTACTTACATTTCCCAAGAGAAGGGCATGCCATGGGGAAGCACCAGGTTTGTTGGGGGCAGAAGCCTAGGCCAGAGCTCTCATTGGGGACCCTGGCGGAAAAAGGAGTGGGGCAGGGGAAACGGGTTAGGATTGGCCAGTTTGAGGAACTCTGGCAGGCTTCATTCAGCTCTACGGCTGGTCTCCAGTTGCCTGCTGCCTGGCCCTGGGACAATTGGGGGCAGGGGAAATGGTGTTCTGATAGGTGAGAGAGAAGGCAGGTTTGCATCTTAAAGGTGTGCTCCCAAGCTAGCCCTTTGCCATCTCTAAGAATGGCTAGTCCTGGGACATCATAAGACACATAAAATTAAAAACATATATATGTGACCGATACAGGCAATAAGCATGGGAAACATTTAGTAGAAGAAGCTTTGAATGGCAGGTTCTAAATGCTTGCAAAAATAGCAGAGAAATCAGAGCATTAATTTACCATCTTAGTGGGAGCAGCCAGCTTCTCTCCTGGCATTGACAATTTAAGAAGAGATTAAGTATTTCATTAACTAATGATGTTTTGAATAGTAACAGCAAGCTGATAATTTTTACATAATTAGAGCAAACAGATACTTACATTTATATATGCTCATATTGCAAAATTTAGAAAGCAGAGGAGGCAGAAAGGAAAGATGGAAAATACAAAAGATATGGGGTAGTAGGAAGATAAACTATGTAACTCCTAACACTACAAGTGAATGTGAGATTCTTATTTTAAAAGAATCTAATTCTAGATAAAAAATAATAATAATAATATCCAATGAATGTTGTCAATTAGGGAATATCAAAACACAATGACTTGGGAAGCTTAAAAGTGAAATGACATTAACTAGAGAATGAAAGCTCGGGCACCTGTAACATACATACACCGCAAGGAATCTAAAGAGAACCAATAATATTAATCTCACAGGGGCATTTGGTTTTGATAAAAGGCGCCATCCACTCCCTTGATAAAGTAATAACATGTGCCCTAGCAGGTTTGGCTCAGTGGATAGAGTGTCGGCCTGCGAACTCAAGGGTCCCAGGCTCGATTCTGGTCAAGGGCATGTACCTTGGTTGTGGGCACAGTGGGGAGTGTGCAGGAAGCAGCTGATCAATGTTTCTAACTCTCTCTCCCTCTCCCTTCCTCTCTGTAAAAAAATCGGTAAAAATATATATTTTTAAAAATAATAATAACATGCTATCAAATATATCACTTAAAAACTGCTATGAAACAAGCTGGCAATATCTGATATGATGGCTCACTGATAGGACTTCCTAACAGATGGGAAGGCAGGAAAGCAGCTCTTCTTAGCTTCCTGCCCCTTGCCATGTGACAGACGCCCACGATCACTACCAGCCGCTCCCACCTTGGCTGGAACCGAAATGGAATCAAGCTGTGAGCCTCCCCTGGTCACAGCAGCCACACAGAGCAAATCGGGGACACGTGGCCATCCCCATCCTGAGTTATCATTAGCCCCATTAACCCTTTAAAATCTAAAGTGAGATTTCAGGCAGGAGAAGAACCTGTGCTTCGCTGGCCTCTTGTACTTGATTAAAGTCATTTCCACCTAGTTCAGTTCAGACCACTGTTCCTCACAAAGGTCTGTAGACACCTGCCTGTGCCTGGATGGTCACACCACCTGAGGTGCGCTGGCCAGCAGCTGCCCAGACAAGAATATACTGAGTCAAACAGTCTTTGCAGGCAAGGCCTTTCGACTGTGATTGTTAGACATCCTGATTTCAGAAACAATTAAAGGTGAAATGAAATGTGTTTTAGAACAAAGGAGAAATTATGATAGGCTATTTTAATATCTCTTAAAGCCGTTCATTCACTCTGGGGATTTTTTGTTCATCATCTGTGATTCACAGAACAAAAGCTCAGAGTAAATTCTCAAACATTATGCTGCTGCATTTTCTCTTGTCCGAACATCCTTCTTCTCATCCACCCAGGTGGGACTTCCACATACTGTCTTCGGTTGTACTCGGGCTGCAAGCCTTTTTGGAGGGAACACGGGAGTCCATGGAGAACTCCTAAGGGCTGCTCTCACCAAAGGCATGCGATCTCTGTGGGTGGCTCCTGTCAGACAGGCTTCAAAGTCAGAGACGGAGCCCTCCTGATGCCAAGTCCTTCACTGGTACTTGTGCACACCTGGTTAGCATCCACCTGCCTCTGCCTTCTAGTTGTTTCTTAGGAAACCTAAGCATTGATCCCCCTCCTATGAGAGGCTGGAGCAGCCCTTCCAGGAAATACACTGCTAACATTCTGCACCCAATCCCAGTGTAAGGGCTTTTCCCTATACCAGCAAGCAATTCTATGACACCAGAGGGGAGTCCTACAGTTCAACTCAGTTCTGATACTGTCCGCCTGAAGATAATGTCAGATCCCACAGGTTAAGGGCTCAGTCTTACAATACTGGCCTCACCCCTTCCGACTGCCACCGAAAGTTCAGTTGTCACCTGTAATTTGACCAACTAGCTATAGATTGGAGATTCCCACAACCCCCTCCTTGGGTTTAATTAATTTGGTAGAGTGCCTCACAGAACTCAGAGAATTGTTTGATCACTTACTTGATCACCGGTTTATTATAAGAAGATAAAACTCAGGAAAAGAAACAGGGGGCCAGGTATGGGGAAGGGGCAGGGAGCTTCCATGCCCTCTCCAGGTGCACCACTCTCCAAACTTCACCTGTTCACCAATCCAGAAACTCTCCAAACCTCACCCGTTGGTGTTGTTGTGGAGTTTGCATTACGTAGGTATTGTTAACCTAAAGATAAAATGCCTTTCAAAGTGAGAGGCAACAAGCATTTATTTGAGATCAAAGCATAACTATTCTGGAATCACTGATTCAGACAGAAACCCAAATAGTGTTCTGACAAAGGCAAGGGGTATTTATGAGAAGGGGAAAGGGAGGAATTACATCCATAGAAGGAAGGCATTTCTATTGATGCCGGTGACATAACATAGTGATGTTAATTCTAAACAACTTTTTAATTTGCAGTCCAGTAGTCCTAATAAAAGCTTTCTTACTGTCTTTGCAAACAGTTCTGCGGGGCACAGGGTTGCTCTAGGCCCAGTTCCAAGGTGATTCTGCCCTGCTTTAGCATTCCAAGGTTTGAGGCATAAGATGTGCAAGGCAGTTCCTGTGGGATAGCAGCTCCAGCTGCATTTTAAAGTGGCTCCTTATTTTTTGTTACATTTTTCCCCTTTTGACGAATATTATTCCTTAAAAACATCACTGATCAATTATCAGAAAGCAGCACTGATACGTTATTAAAAGCAATGGTCCTCCATTTTCAGGAAGTTTTGTTTTCATGCCATTGTCTCCAGGAAGGCTCATTCCCAATATGTCTGTCCCACGTAGAAGGGAAAGTGGTTTTTTTGACCTAAAGGAACACTGGGCCACATTTGAGCAACAAGAGCACCAGAACAGCGGAAGGCTTTCCTTCTATGGACGTAATTCCTCCCTTTCCCCTTCTGCATTGATGTGGGACAACTCATTGTTCAACATGAGAAGGAGGCGGAGCCAGAGTCACTGGTCTTTGCCAAGCAGCTCTCGGTGAAACTGTGCTGCCAGCTCTGCCTCAGTGTGTTTAAGGACCCTGTCATCACCATGTGTGGGCATACATTCTGTCGAAGATGTGCCTTGAAGTCGGAGAAGTGTCCTGTGGACAATGCCAAGCTGATGGTGGTGAACAACATTGCCCTGGCCGAGCAGACCAGGGAGCTCTCCATCCACGGCAAGCATGCTGTCAGGCAGCAGGGGTCAGGAAACCCACTGTCATTGAGGTGGACCCCCGAGGCTGCCCCTTCATTATTAAGCTCAGTGC